GGTTTCTAGCGATGTAAGTCCGCAGACATACCGCTGTGCCACTGGGGGGACACTCTCAGCTTACCAACACATGAAACGAGAAGATTACTCTTTGGCACATATCCATGGCTTATTATATGAAATGGAAAACATGTAACGTCAAAAGTACATTAATCGCTTATCTGTCGAGAATTCCGATTGTACAAAGATCGTTTTTAATTTTCCTTGCATTTTATTTGCTGGAAATAAGATATAAGCCTGAGGTATGCATAGTTTAATATAAAATTTATTGGTGTTTTAAAGTGTGTTTGAATTTAGTAAAAGGTACTAAAAGAATTGAATACTTATTACTCTTAATTCTTACAAACAAGGAACGATTTGGTAAACTTTCAGACTAACAATCAAATCATCTTTTTCTTTTGTTTAATTAACTACATAATATTAAATTTATATGTGATTGTATTCATGAATATCAGAATACTAGCAATACTGTTAACATACTTATAATGAATCCACACTCTCCGATAATTGTAGGTGCATATAAAGTCAAGTTTCATCATGAATGGAGTCTGTGTGAGGTGGAGAGGATGGATTGATGTGAAGAGACTGGACGGTGTAGGTTGTCTGGAATATGACGAGGAGAGAGCTAAGGTAAAATCACTATAATATAAAACTACGCGCGCACACGGTGGTCATTTCTTGAATTTTAAGTTTAAAAAAAAAAGCCCAACTCAGATTACTTGAATACTGGTATCAGGTAAAACCTTTTGTAAAGGAACAATAATAGACTGATAAACAACGATTTATGAAATAATGAAAATTATTTTATTTAGAGAACATACTGCATGTTTCAATAGAACATCGGTCTGTCGTTTTCTGTTACTATTGTACTAGCATAATGCCCTTTTGCACACAAGTAAAGGCAAACTGCTTAACTCTTTATTTGAAAAAGTTACCTCAGGTTGAATAAGGTCGAAACTTTGCTTTCACTGAAGCCACCGCGTGCACCGCTATAAATCATTATTTAAAGTATTTTAGTTTTTCTCTTGTCTCATTTTCGTCCTCAATACTGCAGGTGGAAGACGCTATACTCAGAGAGCAGATTGAAAGTTACAACCAGCGAGTGCGGGACTTTGAGGAGAAACAGAGAGTTCATCGTGCTCAGCAGGAGCGTCACGCGGAGGCAGAGGTCGAGGTGAGTAAAGACGACCAGCAGAGCTTCTTTATATATAGAGTAGGGTGATGTATCAACCACATCCTCTGGACCAGCTGCCACCTTGCACGAGGCCCAGGGCTCCGTGTGAATGGCTACCCAAGCCTGATTTTTTTTTTCCTGATTCTGACCTTAATGAACTTTTTTATGCTAGACTAAGTTTGAGTTGAGTGCACCTGAGCTTTTTCTTTTCTGTTTTGCTTCTCTCTTTTTTTTCATCAATTCTTGCATTAACTTGATATCTACATAAATGGTTAATGTGACATGATAAGCGTACAAACGGGATTCCAACATGACAATAATATAGAGTAGTTCATGCAACGTTCTGTTGTTTGATAAATAATTGTACGAACAGCTATTCATTTATACCTAATTTAGGCTCATTCTTTTCATTTTTCTTAATTAAATGAGGTTTTTAAGATAATAATGAATAGGGTTAATTATGATAAAAAAGGCATTGTTTGTTGGTAGTTTAATCAGATATTGGTAAACACGTGCCTAACATTGAAAAGTAGTCTTTGCTTGGGTTCAAATGAAGTGTACCAAGAAATCCAAAGCTGGACTTAAAAGTGGCACTATTCGTTATTACAAGGATAACACAGGCTAATTAACGTTTTTCATGTTGACGCAATTGAAATGGACTTGTAGTAAATGGAGTTGTCTTGTAGTAAACTGTAAGTTGTTGCATGTTTGATGTTATGTACATAATTGTAGGGTAATATAATATCAGATGGTTTGAAACATAAAGAAAAAGATTCAAATAAAGAAGTCTACTTATGTTCCAAAAGAGAAACTAGGTGAAATATTTTGCTCATGATTAAGAAATTGTTAATGTTTGGTACGATATAGAAAATTTAGTTATTTTAAGAATCGATCCTCTTACTTCAAAAATAACAGGTAGACAAGGCTTGGATGAGTATAAGAAAGTTTGTTAATTATTTGGAACTTGAAAACCTCATGAATGTAAATCATTCCTGATTAGACAGTTATTTTTAAGAAGATTTATTAAAATGGCGTAAACGTTTTTAATGTATTTTTGAGATTTTAATAAATACTTAATCTTTGTGAAAAAGAAAAAAAATCCCCATTTCAATAACAGTTTAATTCAATAGTCTTTAATTTATGATATGAAATAACACCTAACCGTTTTTATTTTGATTTAATTATAATTCTTTTTTGTTTTACCTATTATACAGGCAAGAAAAAAAGCATTGGACTTTAGTCCAGAACATGCTAGTTCAGCAAGGAACTGAAGATGCTAGTTTCGTCTTCTAGGCTCCCCGGTGATCCTTCAGTTGTCCATGAGTGATTACAGAACGTAAAAATATTCAGATATTTTATTACTTTTCATTAACAAGAAGAATCGCCCAACGTTCTAAGATTATTTTGCATTCATCAGCCGACGCTTTTCGGAGAGAAAAAATATGAAGGAATGGAGATTAATTTAAAATACCTAAATGTTTTTCAAACATTTTTTTTATCATATACATATATGTATAGGACTTGTTTTAAAAACTTTTGAATATCATATCAAATATTGTATGTTATTCAATGAATTGTTATTATTCATTTCATTTTTAGTAATTTTTTTCAGGCTGTGTTAATAGTAAAAAAAAATACATGTTTTACTTTTCTGCCACATTCCAAGTATGATGACTAGGATAAGCAGATAATTATTTCAGGCTCGGGTTAGGTATAGCCTAGTTGTGATCATGCCTCGGCTGTGATTGCGGAGATTCGTGATTTGCGACCAGTCGACGTAAAAACGCGTTTCACACTTTGAAGCCGTGAGTGCGCTATAAGAGTGACGGTCAAATTCCACTATTTGATCAGAGAAGAAAATCCTAACGGCTGGTAGTGGGTGCTGTCGACTAGAATACACTAAAGACTGGTGGTGGGTACTGTTGACTAGTTGCCTTCCTTCTAGTCTATCAGATAACCCTTGCGTGAAAGAAAGAAACAAATATTTCTAGATCATCTGATCCATTTTAGTTATTATTTTTATTTCATGGAGTATGAAACGGAATACCGAAAATTATAACAGCCAATAACTTCCAGTATCGTTGTTTTTAAAAACATTAAAATAGATGTTGAAATAATTATATTTGAATAACTTCAGGTAAAACATATAAGTGCCATCTGTAACATTCTAAAACTCATGGCAGTAAAAAAGGAAGAGGCATATCTGAGTAACATAAAGAATTTTAATGGTGCGAAGTGTTAATGCATGTTATTTATATATTTACCTTGTATTTATGAACCTAAGAACATTTTTTAAGTTTCTTGCGCGATATTTGTTGACACAGTTCCTTACAACCAAAGTTTTGTTTTACGTTTAGTGATAGTCATTTCACAAAACTACAAAAAAAAACAAGCAAAAAACAGATCGCTAAAAATAGTTTCTCAAGAGTGTATAACATTAAAAAATAATGGCAAACTTTTATCAGAAGGCGTCAAGTTTTTGTAAGTGTTAAATGTTTGTTTTAATGACAGAATGGCTTAGATGCTCTAGTTTTCATTATATACAAACATTTCCATAGCCTTAGGTTTCTTGTTTTTTTTTCCTGATATATAAAGCTGATGAATCCACGTTAGAATTCGGTACTTGTTTGTTATAACCACGTTAAAGACTTGTTTACTCTCCTTAATGTAAAAGCAAAGGAAAGTACGTTACACCTATTGTATATTTTGTAACGTGACATAGAGGGTTGTGTTTTGTATGTTTTCGTAATGTCGTAGGTTGTGTGCGATTTGTAACAACAACTAAAGTTTCTAATTTTCTTTTCCTCTTTTGGTGTTTTTAACACATGTAAAAATATGTAAGATACAGTTACTTGACATTTCTGATAGGTGTTTATAAATTCTCAAAACTGTCTTACTGTCACGAGAAATAATATATTATCATGTTGATATTTTAACAAGTTTTTATGAATTGTACAAAATGAAAACAACATCCCTACTGAAGTTTCTACGTGAATGTTTCCTCGCATTTTGTTCCCCAAACTATTTTCAGTATTCATATACCACTTATACATCATTGTAGTAATAAAGTCAGGCAGATGTGCAAGGGACAAGAATTGACGTTATCACACACATTCGTTTCCATATATATTATCCTAACTATTAAATCGCGTCAAATGTAACCGATAACAGTGATCAATTTAGCCCGTATTGTGACTCACTACTTACAGGTTTTCATGTATTTACTAGTCCTGACGAGAGGTAAGACAATTACTTTGTAAAAATGATGTTAAATGTGTGAATTTTGGAAAAGGTTTACATGTTCGTTTTCGAATAAAGATTTCGTATTATGATAATGTTTTTATTTGTGCTGATTGATTGTACACAAAATCAGTTCTTACATTCAGTGACATAACTACAAAAGATGCCCCCCTCCACATAAAAAGTAATTGGGCCCTTACATCTTGATCGATTCGGGGCCCCTTTTGGGGGCCCCCACACCACCCAAATTACGGGGGCATAGTTACGCCACTGATACAATACTATAATGTTTTATTTTTTATAACTCTCAACAAATGTAAAGTAGTTTTCAGAATAATTGTTTAGCTTTAGGGTCCTATTTCTTGGCACACGAGTAAAGACGAAGAATCAGAGTAGTTAGCATTGCATTTTACAATCATAAATTTAAGATGAACTTAAAATGATATAAGATGTAATTAATGTCATTAAAAAGTTGCCAGTCATAAAATTCTCTACGAATCAGAAATCAGATGGCCGTGTGGGGCGTCTCAATGACTACGAGGTTAAGCCTATCCACAACAAGCAATACCCACCAAACACCTCTAGTACAATAAACACTGAGCTTAATGGCTTGATCAAATATGACAAATTGATCAACTCATCAAGTAAGATCTAGTGACGCTTTCGAAACCTGGTTATTGGGGGGGGGGGGTATTATAAGTCAACTAGATTACCATACTGGCACTCTAATTGTCTACAAACAAATGCAGAAATTCACATACAAAACCTTAACACCTAAACATTGCTATCTGAGATGAACAATATACCTTTGCATTATCAACATTCACCTCTCCCCTACGCAACTTGTGACGTCGTCCGTTCTCTCTGTGTGCGGGTCTACATACGTCTACCTAATTCCCCCATTTGTTCGTTCTTTTTTTTAGAAAGGTGAAAATTATATCCACGTGTAAATGATAAGTCAATCTTGTATTTAAGTTGTTTATCACCTCTGTAGTAACGAGAACAAGATAAACCTTTGATAAGAAGACATTTAGATTTAGTGTGATTTTAATATTTATTGTTGTTTTTTCGATCGTAGTATTCACAAGAGCAGAAAACAGTAAATTGTACAGCTGTGGATAATGGATCACACAAAGTAAAAGTAAACTGTTCAAGTCTTTGTTGAGAACGTTATTTGGTATATTTATTGTCTTGGGTCCTTTCCAATAGTGTCAGAGTTATTTTGGGTTAAGGTTTACCTTCTTCCTTAGTTCTTCTGGATTAATTAAAGAAAAAACTGAAGATTAAAGACAAATTCTTTAGTGAAAGGGTTAAGTGGCGAAACAACCTACATGTAATTAACGTTTTATAGCCGTATAAAAATAAGTAAAATCAATGGCCAAGACTTACAATGTGTACACATCATCTTATATTAATTTAACTTATTATACAATACTTATGTTACATAAGTCACTAGTACATTACTTATTTCACTTATATATTTTAAACTTATTTTGCGTCTCCAATGATTTAGACTAAACGTCCAAATAAAAAAAAAAATTCCACCAAATTAGTTTTGCTTAAAAACATTTTTTTAGTTTTTAAATTTGTAATATATTTTATTTGTTAGCTTTAGAATAATGTAATATAATGTCCTGAAAGAAAATATTATCTTAGTTATTTCTATCCGAGAGTATATCCTCAAAACGTATCATGTCTTGAGAAAAGATGCATAAATTTTTTGCATTGCAACATATATTGTTGGAATCTCGAAATTTAAAACACAGGACAAGGATTAAGGTAAAAACAAAACAATTGTATTCATCTTTTGCTCAATTTTTATTGCACGTGTTCGTTCCTGAATGTTAAAATTTAGATTGGCTCAAAAAAGTAGCAGAAACTTTTATCATAAAAATTAGTGAAAGTAAAGGAAAACAACGTATTATAATTATCATTGACATAGATACATATAAAAATCTCAGAGATCCATTATTACAAAGAAACAATACGTATTAGCATAATGCATGTATTACAAATTGGTCACTTAATGACACCTAAATGATTTTCAACCACTAACTTTAATATTAAAAAAATACACTTTCTTGAGAGTATGATCTTATGTAATGCTGTTATCAAGATATTTACCACTTAATCATCATCGTCCCCCAGTGGCACAGCGATATGTCTGCGGACTTACAACGCTAGAAACCGGGTTTCGATACCCGTGGTGGGCAGAGCACAGATAGCCCATTGTGTAGCTTTGTGCTTAATTACAAACAAACTTGATCATCGAATCAAAATAATTCAAACAAATCTTGCCGAAAATATGTTTTAATTTTACTCAAGAAAATACAAGTAACATCATAAAAACAATATTCTGTGAATATTTGCGACGAGGAACAAACATGTTTGCTGCTTTAACTGCAATGTTTTACTTATAAAGTGTTCATGGGGGATATTTGTGACAGCTTAATTAAAATCGCCAGGAAAGTGTGGATCGGAAAATTGCCTGAATAGAGCAATTTTGTTTACGTTAAGAATTTTTGAAAGAACAATTTCAGAATTCCGAGAGAACTTAACTTTTTTTTTCTTATAAAAAGAAATATTTTTATGTAGAACTTAATTGCCATTTAAAAAGTTATTGTTACGTTTCACATTATTAAGTAACAACAATTGTGATTTATGAGTTATTTTGTGGAATACTCAAACAATGCTAGACATGTAAATTTACAGTAAATGTTTTGTTTACTTGTTTTGAAAATATTTACGGAGAACAGGAAATAAATATTACTATGCGATAGATACGAATACCTAAGGGCTTTTGAAGTCGAACAAACATTTGGCAGTAATGTTCCTGAAAAGAAAAATGTGTTAAAACATTAAATTTCGAAGCATTCACTAGTGCATACGCAAGCTCAAATTTAATCCAAATGTATGATCACTGGACAAAGCATTTAAAAGTGTTACCAACATATACTTATTAGTTCAGAGCGTTCTTAGAGAAACACACTTAGAAACAAAAGGCCTAGATAAAGTATTAGAACATTTAATTTCAAACTAAATTTTCCTTTAAAACGCAAGTTGACTCACTTGTAAACTAAGAGACATACCCGATATTTATAATCCTGAACAACAAACACGCTATAAAATAAACGGTCAGGTCAGAGAGACAAAGATAAAGATACAATCATGCCTGAGCAGAGGGAGGAGAAACAAT